GAGTTGCCAGTCCTGCCTCCTAGGGATCTTCCTGACCCAGAGATCGAACCCAGGTCTTCTGCATTGCAGGCAGATTCTTTACCATCTGAGTCACAAGGGAAGCCCCATGGTGCTGCCTTAAATTCTAAGATTAGTCTCAGAAGCTAGTAAAGGGCTGGATTTTGACATGTCTGTTTACTTTGAGTACCGCCATCTCACTTACTGCTAATGCCTTTCCAGTTGATTCCCACATATCTTCTGGTCAAAACAAGGCATCCTTTGTAAATGATCATGATGCCTCCATTCTCCCAGTCACTATAACCTCCTCTTTTCATCTTCTTCACAAGAAAGAGGATATCAAGAACATTACAGGACCCCATTTTCTCATCCAAAACTCTTGGTTCCAGAGTGTTTAGGAATTCAGGATTTTTCAAAAGATAAAAATGTGTCAGTGGAGTTTCCTATAGTATGGTATGAGGCAGCACTCCTTGACTAAACATATTAATGCTTCTTCCATCAGTAAGATGAATGTTCTATTGAAGAATAGAGGAAGTAAAGCACCTCACAGAAGTTCAGGGAGGGTTTTGCTACATATGAGTTATTAAAGGAGGAAAAAAACTTCAGTTTTTCAGAGCATCAGGATTTCATAATTGCAGAAAAGAGACCATGAATATGAAATAAGAAACTGTGGCTATAATGAAACTCATTTTTGAGAAGGGACAAAAATGGGTGAGATTTAGGTTGTTCTCTGTGAAGGAGGGAAGTGCTATCAGACAATGAGGTTAAATGGACAAGAGACAAAAGAAGACTGAAGAAACATTCCCCACATGGACCCCAGAGCTCATACATTTTAGACAGGCAGAAAGTCCTATCTCCAGACGTCACCCTTAGGCCTTTCACTCTTAGAACCAGAGCACCCTGGGACACGTCTTACTAAAAAACACTTACACTTCTCTGGTTCCCATTTAGGCATAAAGTCCTGAGATTTAGGTCATGGCTTTAATAGCTCTGCATCCCTGTATACACCACGCCTATAACCTGTATCTGCAGCTGTTTAATAAGCCCACCTTTGGGGAATTAATTTCTTTGGGTATGCAAAAGTAGTGAAATAGGAAAAAAATGGGAAATATTTCTGGAAGGCAGTAATCTTGGCCATGCCATACACAACATGGGTCGCCTGTTACCCTGACAGCAGTCACTAAAGCACAAGCCTGAGGAGTCACAGCAGACTTGGGAGAGTGGAAAACATGGAGGAGGCTTCAGTCACTCAGCCTAACTGCAGAGAATGAACACACACATGACCTCGATGAGTTATGAGGTCACCGCAGAGAAAGAAGTGCTGCCTGAGCAAGTGGACTTCCTCATAAAATAGCTCCGGGTCCTATGAATTCTACTTGTCAACATCACTGTAAAAATCCCTTGGGTGGAACCTGTTCAGAAGAAATTCCTCAGTAACTCCCAGCCCATAATTCTCAGTCACGCTTCTCTCTTCTTTCTCCAGTTCAGTGATGTGCCAAGATCACCCTCTTCCCATCCTCCCTTCATCTTGCCAGTCCTTGTTCCTGCCCACCTTCCATTCACCAGCATCCTTCTGTGTTCACAGGCACCTTCTCTCCCAAGCAAGTATCTGCTGGATACACACATCTAATTGTCTGATGGATCTCAAGTTCAGTATGTCCACAATCAAACTCATGGCATGATCACAATCCACTCCTGTTTATAAATGTTTATAAACTATATGGCCAGTTTTCCACAGGCAAATTTTTAAATAATCATACCTCAAATAACATCGGATTCTAAATTCCTCTTCATTTCTATTTATATTCTCCCAATCTCCCACCCAGGCTATTTTTTTTTTTAAGTATACCACCCAGGCTATTTCAATAGTTTCTGCACAGCTCTCTTTTTCTTCAGTTCATCCATCACATCAATAGCAATCTTAATCAGTTAGGAATTGCATTCAGCTGTGAGTAATAAACCTCTGCAAAAGGTTTAAACAAGATTAGGGTATATTTTTCTCTTTGACTCAGGTTCCCTCCAATTTTGTACTCCACCATCCTCAGGGAGGGCTTCTTCTCAGACTTTAAAGACGGCTGCCAGAGGGCTTGCCTGATGGCTCAGTGGTAAAGAATCTACCTGCCAATGCAGGTGACGTGGGTTCAATCCCTGGTCCAGGAAGATCCCACAAACTGCAGAGCAACTAAGCCCAGACTGCACAACTACTGAGCCTGCACTCTAGAGCCCAAGAGGCGCAGTCACTGAGCTCACCCCCTAGAGCCCAGGCCCCCCCATAAGAGAAGCCACCACAGTGAAAAGCTCTGCACTGTCTCTAGAGAGTGGCCCCCATTCCCCACAACTAGAGAAAAAGCCTGCGCAGCAACAAAGACCCAGCACAGCCAAAAAGAACATGCATAAATAAGTAAAAAAGATGGCTCCTGGAATTCAAACCATCTTCTCATTCCCAGGAAAGAAGAAAGATCTAAAGGAAAAGGGGCATGCCATCTGAGTCGGCAAGAGCTTTCCTAGAAACTCCCGATTGGAATAGAGTCTCAGGGCCCCCAAAGCTTCAGGGGAGACTGGGAAACAAAGTTTGGGGGCTGGCATTCATCACTCTCCCTAAACCTGAGGCTGAGGTAGTAAGAAAGGTAAGAAGAATGGTAAATGGGTAAAATCAGCCTGCCAGTCAATATTTCCAAAATAAATTTTTGATATAAAACAAACATCTAATACAGCTTCATTACCTACAGAGTTAAACCTAAACCTGTAACAACATGTTCAAACCTTTCCAGGATCTTCCCCCAGTCCATCTCAGCAGCTCTTTCTTCTACTTCTCAGAGTAGTAGTTCTCAGATTTTAATGTGCTTATGAATCACCCAGGGAGCTGGTTAAAATGCAGAACCTGTTTCAATAGGTCCGGAATGAAATCTGCGTTTCTGAATTGCTAATAAGTTTCCAGGTGATGCTCCTGCAGCTGGTCCCTGGAGCACAAAGTTCTAGAGCAGTACTTTTCTACCAGGAGCCTCACTGTCCCCAGGAGACATTTGACAATCTCTGGAGAAACTGTGGTATGTTACAACATGGGGTTGGGGGGTGGTATGGGGAAGGTGGGCGCTGCCAGCAGCTGGAAGTAAATGTCCATGACAGCCACTGGCTTAGTGCCCGACACAGTATTGAATGGGCTCCCTTTTACTTGTATATAGCTTTATTTGTATATATTTGTATATATATTTGCTTAATATATATATTAAGCACCTATGTGCTATATATATATATATATATATATATATATACGCACATATATACATATACATGCATACACAGTTGCTTCAGTCATATCCAACTCTTTATGACCATACGACTGTAATCCACCAGGCTCCTCTGTCCATGGGATTCTCCAGGCAAGAATGCTGGAGTCAGATGCCATGCCCTCCTCCACATGATCTTCCTGACCCAGGGATTGAACCTGAGTCTCTTGTGGCTCCTGCACTGCAGGTGGATTCTTTGCCACTGAGCCACCCTCCTGGGAGGCATGTATATGTATATGTATATGTATATGTATATGTATATACACTCACACACACACACACACACACACAACACTCTAAGCCTTTAAGAAGTTGCTCTAATGCAATTAACTCACCATGGCTCCATCTTTCCTAGTCTCCGTTATAACAACCAACAGTGCAGATTGCAACACCTTCCAGTCCTCATAAAACCCAAATAGAATTCCTATATACAGGTTTTAAAATACAGAAAAAAGTGAAAAACCTGTCCTTTAGGGCCACTGTCTGGCTTTCATTAAACCTTCCCTGATTCTTTCAGGTCAGGGTTCATGGACCAGTGCCTTTGTACCTGGTTGGCTGAGATTAAAACTGAGTAATATACCCTCTGTGCCATCAGTACAATCCTAATGCATTTTTCATTATGATGAACTCCCACTTGGGCCCTCTTTCTGAGGTTCAGGCAGAGGTAAAAGAGGCATGTCTTGCTTGTTTACTATCATTTAAACAAGATTGCTCTTTTCCAACAAACAATAACAATTTTGTGCTTAAGATGATTTCTGGGAAGGTAGAAATATTGTATTTATTTGACCATCTGTTAGGAGAGCACTGAGTCAATAGAACAGGCTTCCAACCGATTCACATTTCAGAACTTTAATAAAATATTTTAAGCAAAGGTCACATGGATAGCCCATTTTCCAGTAAATAATACCCAAACACACACACACATGCATACTTATCACACATTCTCATTCATACATACATTTACATGCATGTAACTGCTCACATGTGTACTAACATGCACACACTGTGAAGATACACATACATGTATACACTCAGATGCACACACATGCACATACACATATATGCACACCCATGTACCCACACACAGGCATATATACATACACACACACACACACACACACACACACACACACACACACACACATATATGGATGTGAGAGTTGGACCATAAAGAAAGCTGAGAGCCAAAGAATTGCTTTTTTTTTTTTTCAGTTTTCTTTAAAACTCTTTAATATCAACAGTCAACACACACACACCAAAAACCATGAAAGTTAGGTGATTTTAAAATGAAAAGCTACCTCAATTATGACTGCACAACGTTTAAATTCTAAATGAGCCCAATTATTGCAAAGATCCTGAATTTCAGGAAGTAAGGATGGCTCAAAAGTCACTACAATCATTCAAGTCAACCTTCACCGCAGAACCATCACAGTTCAGTTCAATCACATCACCAAGGAACTCTCTCAGCTTCTCTACATTACCGCATAAGTGCCCCAGCCTGGGATAAGCAGTGATTCTTTGCAGGGGCACGTAAAACTTATCTTCAACACAGAAAGGTTGGGGAGCCATCTCCATGGCTCTGTCATCTTCAGTGAGTACTGGAACTGGAAGGTCTGAGGTGAATTTTCCTGTCCGGTTGCCAGGGGCTACGAACTCAGGCTCCAATTCATGCTGTCTCAAACCCACTTGGTATTTCTGTCTCAATCTGCTCACTTCTCAGTACACTAGATAAATCACCACACGTCTACGGTAATTTATCTGCTGTAAACTTGGGTATGAGGTTGTATAAACAACTTCATAAACATGTTCACCATGATGCTCCAAATCAGCCAATCCAGCTGCTTCTGCTTTTTTCCGGAAGACTCCTATCTGGGTACAATAGCCAACATCCTCAGCTCCTGTGGGTGGTTCCCCCACACCAGTAAACTCCACTGAGTATCTGTAGCGACTGGCCACATCTAAAGCCCAGGTCTGAAACTGCATTCTGCTCCACTCAAATTTGTGATCTGAATCTCTAAAGACTGCACAAGGAAACAGGGAATTGAATTCAGAGTTTGGTGTGCTGATGACAATCATGGCTGGAGACATGTACCCAAAGACAACTTCAGGAAACTTCGCCAGATCTTCTGAATCAAAATGTTCTATTAATTCAATACATGCTGTCAAGTCAAATCCGAGCAAACGACAGTCTTTCTCTAAAACAGAGCCATGATACAAGGTAATCGCTAAATCCAGTTCTCGGGGATCCAGATGATCCCCTACACATGGGGACAGCCTTGACTTTTGGTATTTTAAGATCGCTAAGAGGCAAACATCACCACACCCCAAGTCTGCAACCTTCTTAGGTTGATGTTGCTCCACTAAATTTTTAACGAATTGGTAACGTTGTTTTTATAATGGAGGATTAAACTTAATTACCTTCTTACTGGGAACTTCTTCGACATTTCCATCAACCACACTATTGCACTCCATGTTGTTTTCTGCCTTTGTTTTCAAGTTTTGTTGAAACAGAAGTGGAGCTGTCTCCTGCAACCCCTTTCTGTAAGAAGCACCTCCGCGCGCGGCTGACCAGCAGACATTGCGGAGAGGAGCGTGCCGCAAAGCGGCGGCCGCCTTTCTCCCCGGGCCCAGCCCCTGACACTGGCCCAAAGAATTGCTTTTGAATTGTGGTGTTGGAGAAGTCTCTTGAGAGTTCGTTGGACTGTAAGGAGATCAAACCAATCAATCCTAAAGGAAATAAACCCTGAATATTCATTGGAATGACTGATACTGAAGCTAAAACTCCAATACTTTGGCCATTGATGCAAAGAACTGACTAATTAGAAACGACACTGATGCTAGGAAAGATTGAAGGCAGGAGGAGAAGGGAACAACAGAGGATGAGATGGTTGGATGACATCACTGACTTGATGGAAATGAGTTTGAGCAAGCCCAGGGAGTTGGTGATGGACAGGAAAGTCTGGCATGCTCTAATCCATGGGGTCGCAAGGAGTCAACACAACACGACGGAGTGACTGAACTGAACTGGTATACCTGAAGTAGGCTGGAAAGTAAACTCTCAAAGATATGAGGACCTAATCCCTGCCACTTGTTATCTTATTTGGGGGAAAGGTCATGGATTTAGAAAAGGCAGAGGAAGCAGAGATCAAATTGCCAACATTAACTGGATCATAGGAAAAGCAAGAGAATTTCAGAAAAAAACCTGCTTCTTCATTGACTACACTAAAGCCTTTGATTGTGGGGATCACAACAAACTGTGGAAAATTCCTAAAGAGATGGAAATACCAGACCATCTTACCTGCCTCCTGAGAAACCTGTTTGTAGGTCAAGAAGCAATGGTTGGAACCTAACATGGAACAATGTACTGGTTCCAAATTGAGAAAGGAATATGTCAAGGATGTATATTGTCACCTTACTTATTTAACTGATATGCAGAGTACATCACACAAAATGTCAGGCTGGATGAATCACAAGCTGGAATTAAGATTTCTGGGGAAAATATCAACAACCTCAGGTACACAGATGACACCACCCTAATGGCAGAAAGTGAAGAGTAACTAAAGAGCTTCTTGATGAAGATAAAAGAGGAAAGTGAAAAAGCTAGCTTAAAACTCAACATTCAAAAAACTAAGATTATGGCACCTGGTCCCATCATGTCATGGCAAATAGATGAGAAAAAGTGGAAACAATGACAGATTTTCTTTTCTTGGGCTCCAAAATCACTGTGGACCGTGACTGCAGCCATGAAATTAAAAGGTGTTTGCTCCTTGGAAGAAAAGCTATGACAAACCTAGACAGTGTATTAAAAAGCAGACACATCACTTTGATGACAAAGATCTGTATAGGCAAAGCTATGGTGTTTCCAGTAATCATGTACGAATGTGAGAACTGGACCATAAAGAAGGCTGTTAGCCAAAGAATTGATGCTTTCGAACTACGGTGCTAAAAACTCTTGAGAGTCCCTTGCACAGCAAGGAGATCAAACCAGTAAATCTTAAAAGAAAAAAAAAAAAGAAATCAGCCCTGAATATTCATTGGAAGGACTGATGCTGAAGCTCCAATACTTCATCTATCTGATGCAAAGAGCCTACTCATTGGAAAAGACCCTGATGCTGAGAAAGACTGAGGGTAAGAGGAGAAGGGGGTGGCAGAGGATGAGATGATTGGATGGCATCATTGACTCAATGGACATGAGTTTGAGCAAACTCAGGGAGATAGTGAAGGACAGGGAAGACTGGCATCCTGCAATCCATGGGATTGCAAGGAGTAGGACACAACTCAGTGACTAAACAACAATGTTACTAAGGAGCTTCCCTGGTGGCTCAAAGGTAATGAATCCTCCTGCCATGCAGAAGCCACAGGTTCAATCCCTGGGTCAGAGAGAGCCCCTGGAGGAAGGCATGGCAACCCATTCCAGTGTCCTTGCCTGGAGAATCCCATGGACAGAGAAGCTTGGCGTGGTATAGTCCATAGAGTCTCAAAGAGTCAGACACGACTGAAGTGACTTAGCATGCACACACTCAATGTTACTAAGAATCTTGTGATGGAGAGATCATTCTCACTCTGGACTGTCAAGCTGTGTCCTGAATGCCATCAGTAGTGTCTTTATAAGAGAAAGCAGGGGGACACTTCACACACACACACAGAGGAGAAATTCCATATGAAGCCAGGTACATAGACAGGAGTGATGTGGCCATAGCCAAGAACTGCCCAGTGACCAGATGCTGGAAGGAAGGAAGGATCGGATTCTCCCTTAGAATGTCCAGAGGGACTGCAGCTCTGACTACACTTTGTTGTTGCTGTTTACTTGCTCAGTTGCGTCCAACTCTTTGGGACCCCATGGACTGTAGCCCACCAGGCTCCTCTGTCCATGATGTTTCTCAGTCAAGAACACTGTATTGGGTTGTCATTTCCTTCTACAGGGGATCTTCCCAACCCAGGGATCAAACCCACGCCTCCTGCATTGGCAGGCTGATTCTTTATCACTGTGTCACCAGGGAAACCCCGCCTGTATCTTGATTTCAGCCCAAATTTCAGACCTCTGGCCTCTAAAACTATGAGAGAATAAATTTGTGTTGTTTTAAGCCATCAAGTTTGTGATAATTTGCTACAGCAGCCCCAGAAAACACCCATCAATATATACAGATACACACACACATATGTACACAGTCATATGGCCACATACACACACTGCACACATATGTACACTGGTTACTCATGGACACAAACAGGAACATACATACACATTCCTATACTCACATGATTATATATCTGTGCTAACAGGTTAACTTGGTTATCTCTAAAACACCTCCAACGAAACCCAAAATTTGAATCATACTCTTCTCAAATAAAATAAATATGTAATAATTTTTAAAAAGGTGTCAAAATATTAGTAACAATGAGAGGAGGAAATCATGAATATGTCCCTATATTTCATCTTCCACATAATTGATAATAATTACTCACATTAGGCAAAAACCTGTTAGGGGTCAAGCCACTGAGCTAGTTGTTTCAGAGGTATAATCAACAATCATATACAAAGGAGAAACAGAGGGGCAGAGAAGTGAAGTGACGTGAAAACCACTCATTCATGTCCGACTCTTTGCGACCCCATGGACTATAGAGTCCATGGGATTCTCCAGGCCACAATACTGGAGTGGGTAGCCCTTCCCTTCTCCAGGTGATCTTCCCAACCCGGGGATCGATCCCAGGTCTCCCACACTGCAGGCAGATTCTTTACCAGCTGACCCGCCAGGGAAGCCCAAGAATACTGGAGTGGGTAGCCTGTCCCTTCTCCAGCGGATCTTCCCAACCCAGGAATCGAACCGGGCTCTCCTGCATTGCAGGTGGATTCTTTATCAACTGAGCTGTCAGGGAAGCCCAAAGGGCAGAGAAATTGAACAAATCACGGTCACAGACTGATGGAGCTGAGATGAGAATCCAGGTGTTAGGACTCCAGAGGCCACATTTGAACCAAAAGAAACAGTGTCATTTAAAATCTCAGTATTTTCTTTAATAAACACCTACGTGTGTAGTTCCACATTCCGACAGCGTTGCTACTGTATTTCCACGCCACAACACCGGTGCATGAACTGGTATCGCGGCTAACTGAGTCGTCTTCACTGAAATCCGAGTTCCATCTGGTAAAGGCCTCTGTCCCTGCCCCAGCCCCCCACCTAGTATGAGGCCTTTTTGCTGCTGTGGAGACAGGATATGTGCTGAGCACGCGAAGGCCTGAGCCTCTGTTTGCAGCATCTCCACTGGACTTCCCAGGTGCCTTAAATCCTGCTCCCTCCACTGGGCCAATTGGAAACACACAGGCTCTTATAGCTCTTTCCTCTGACTGTGATTTTGGAAATACTGCTATCTTTGTGTTGCATATACATAAGGCACATATTTTGATGCACAAATCAAAAATGTGTTGTTACTACATGTTTATTCTAAGGTCTATGTAAGCAAATCAAAACCTAAACTTGTAAATGTTTCAACGTTGCAAAAGCAGAATATTAAGGACAGGCAATCATGAACAGCCACCTAGACTTTAAGTCACAGCTAGTCAATAATTGCCTCCTTTTATCCCCACCTTTTTCTGTAAAAAGCTGTTTCCAGAGCCAGCACTGGCAGTCAGTTCCAGTTTGCTGCTGCCCCATCCTGATTGATTTTTGCTCAGATAAACTCTCAAAATTTTTAACCTACCTCAGTTTTATCTTTTAATAGCATAAAGGGAACAGCCGAGTCAAATGCCAGGCTCAAAGGTTGAAAGTAGCTCTGGCCACGGGCCTGAATTGAGGGCTGTTATATCAGTGGAGACAAAGGAGGGTTTATTCCTCGGATTTATTTTGATTTTTTTTAAGCTGTAAATGCAGGAGGAACAGGGCCTCACCTTGTACCTCCCAATCTCCCTCCCTCTCCTTCTTTCATTTGTTGTGAGAGGGCGGTTCAAGTGAAGGTGACAACCCTAATCAGGGACAGGGTGAGGATGGCAGGAGCAAATGGAAATGTCACATCCAGACAGACTTGGGAGGGAAAAAAAAAAGTAATTGTGGCTTTTCACAGGAGAACATCAGGCAGGAAATGGCAGTACTCTG